TTCCGTGGTCTGAGCCCGCTCCGTAGGGTTCAGTGCTCCATCGTAGGTTGTGGTCAAGTGTTGGGCCTTTTACAAATGCGAGGTCGATGGTTGTAGGCCTTTTCCCTCTGTCTCTGGGGAAGTGCGTAAAGACGCCTGGTTCGTTCAGGAGGGTCAGTTTCTGTCGGGTTATCCATCGTTTTAACCGTGCGCCGTTGACGCGGTCTGCTCGAATGTTGTTTCTGTATTCATGTGAATTTACTCCGTACCACATTTGATGGTGGCAGTTGAAGTCTCCCATTACTAGACAGTTATCAAGGGTTTGGATTGTACTTGCTATTTGAGCGAAGGGGCCACTTCGGCCTGGGGAGTATATGTTTAGGATTTGGGTTTTCTTGGTCTGGATTTCTACCGTAATCGATACTATGAAGTTATCATGTGTATAGTGGTGTTTTGGTTTAAGGTTGGCATGTTTGCGGACGTATGTTGCGCATTTCGTATTGGTATTACTGGCTGTAAAAAGGTAAAAGAGATTTGATTCTGGTGGATATCCTTCTGTTGAGGTCCATGGTTCTTGTAATAGTAGGAAATAAATGCTCGAGTCTGTTTCTGCTTCTTCCACCGCCGCCTTGGTGATTAGTTCGCTCCGTGCACAATTAAGTTGGTGTGCGAGCGCGGTTGTTCGCAGCCTAGGCATTATTCGTCATGGGTTGGTCGTCTTCGGGAACGGGTGTGGCTCCGACCGGGGCGGTGGCTGGTACTTGGATTATTGAGATTGGCTCCTGGGCGGGTGCGGCAGGTGGGTCTTGGGCGGGTGGGGCGTTTTCCTTTCCTTTGTTAAGGAATCGGCGTTTAACTCTTTCAGGGCATGCTGGGTCGGAGGCCTTATGGATTCCTTTACAGTTCAGACATCTGATTGGGGTGTGGGTGCATCTATATCCTCCCTGGCATTGATTGCATGGGTGGAAACTGGTGAGGTGATCTCCAGCGCAGTGGCCGCATTTTCCATTGTTCTTACATTTCTCCTGGCGGTGGCCGTATTCGAGGCACTTCGCACACTGGGTATCCGGGAAGATTGGGAGGAAGGCCTCGATATGGCAGCTTCGGTTGAAGAGAGATAGGAATTTAACTCCTAGTGTTTCCATTGTGATTTGTCCTGGGAGCGCGATGACCATTGATGAGTGGGTTTTCTCCATTCGAGTTTCTGCCCTGGATATCCAGCGGGGAACCTGGGCAAGTTGGAAGTTCTCTCCATAGTTGCTTCTGATTTCTGATGCTACTAGTTGTCCCGCCTCAATGCCCTCCCCGACCGTTGTGGGGATTCCATGGAGGAGAAACTTTGACCATTTGGAGTTTGCGCGGATGACAGCGACCGGTACCTGTAGGGTGAGGAGGGCCTCCTCAATTTCTTTGGCATATTCCATTGCCTTTGTTGCAGGGGTAACGAATTTTGTTTCCAGGATGAAGTTGTCTTTGGGTGTTCTTCTTGCCGAAATGAAATGGCAGGACTCGTCTTGGATTCTTGCATTGACGAGGGTTCTGATCTCGGAGGGGTTAACGTCGGATGGGGCAGTAGTTTCCACGATGATCTCCCTGTTGATCTTGGTGTATTCTGGTTTGAAGAGGGGATCCGCTTTTGGCTTTGCGGACTTCTTTTTCCTCTCGATGACCTGGAAGTTACCTTGGGCAGGACCGGGTGCCGAGGCCACGGCGGCCCAGGTACCTGCCTTCCATCCACGAGATGGGGCTTGTTGGGGGGGTGCGGGTGGGGGGGCCTGAGGAGCTGCCTGTGGCGCTGCTTGGGGAGCTGTTTGTGGGACCGCTGGAGGGGGCATTCTCTGTCCTTGCGGTTGCTGTGGTTTTCGCTGTTGTTGCTGTTGTTGCTGTTGTTGCAGTTGCTGCGGTTGTTGCGGTTGTGGTTGTTTGTTGAGGAGCGCGTGGATCGCCGAATGCATATTGGTGATCATGTTTGTCTGCGCCTCGATCTGATATTTCAGTGTATCCACTGTTCTCCGGAGTATGGTCGTTTGCTCTTCGAGGATTTCCATCCTGTCGGTGGGTGGGCAGATTCGGCTTGTGGCATGTCTAATGGCCCAGGTAATGTAGTTCAGGTCCGTCTGGGTGTGAGTGTCCTGGGGAACGATGCTTGGGTAGAGGTAGTCAATTCTCGGTTGGTATGGGTCGTTGTAGTCGGATTGTGATGCAAAGGTCGAGGAGAATTCTTGTTCCTGAGCTCCGGACGGGGTTGGATCGGGAGCCGGAGTATTCCTGTTCTGCGGAGGGGCTGTCCCTTGCTGGGAAGATTGGGTGAAAAAGGACTGGAGCGAAGCTTGTTGCGACATAATTGAATGTCCAGTTCTTCTGGCGGCGTTGAGTGATGTTTCGGAAAGGTTTCTTTTCCTTCCCTTTGGGAGGTCAAGGCTGGAGAATTCTTCGCTAGAAGCCAGTTTTCTTGGTGTTTCTTTCGCTTGGAACAACAAAACGCGACCGTACGATCGGGGGCGAAGTGGCTCAACCTGGTATGGTATACCAGGGTAAACCGAGAGGAATAAAATAAGAAGTTTTTGAAGCGAGGTTTGTTATCAGGGAGTTCTTTGCGAGCCTTAGCGAGCAAGTAGAATGCAGAGGTTGCGTAAAGAAAGAAGGAAAGAAAGAAAACAGGTAAAGACGCAAGACAACGCCTCCTTATATATCCAACCATAGTCCGATAATGACTAATATCTTCGCGTAATAGAAACAAAAAGAACATAACAGAAATCCCAATTACAAATCCTAATCCCACTGCACAATACCTCCTATTCCCATTCCAACTTTACTGTAACGGAGCCATTTCAACTGTCTGGTGTATGAGTACACACAGGGCCCGGTTACATGCTGAGAGTTATTGTTAGAAGCCAGTCGCACAATGATATGCAAGTACCGGCAGTGTGGTTAGCTACCGGCTGTTAGAGTAACTACATTCCGGGCGCTAGGAAGGGGATCTATTCATGGGAGCAATGACTGACGAGTCTACGCCTCGCCAGTGACTAGAAGACCGGCCAGAGTGAAGCTCTGATTGACCGGTGATCCTCTGTATCCTCTGAGCATTGTATGTCCGCCGAAGAGGCAGGGACTATGCTAGGGAAGTCTACAATAAGCGAAAGCTCTACAGCAATGATTAAGCTTACACCTGAGCAGCAGCTCATTCATGCAGGTCCTCGGTTGTGTGGCAACCAAGGCTGCAGGTGTTACAAAGGCTTTGACTAAGGGTGGTTGCCTTGGGTATCGGAAACACCTGCTGACGCTTAGAGAAAAGCGGGGTAGCGGTGGTATTGTTTCCGGTACTGAGGGGAGGCCCACCAGAACTTAGTAAGGAGTTAGGAGCAGAGAATAGAGACCTTCGGAGTATAAGTACTCAGGTTCATTCTCGCCCTTCAGTCCTATTCTCTCCAGTCTTCATCAGAAAGAAAACCAAGTTCTTATCGGTAGCAGAGCCCTTAAAGATTATTGAGTTCTAGTGATAGTATCTTTGAATAATCTGCAACCTGATTGTCTATCTTGCACAGCCGTCTCTATTCTATCCGATTCTATTTCTCTTAGAAAGGACCCCCGTTACACCCGGGGCCTTTGAAAAGTTCGTGAGGCCATCGTAGTGGAGTTGCTGGATGTCAAGAGTGTAACCGGATATGATAGGTGGAGACTCCAAAGAGTGCCGACCGGGCATGCGAAAGGGTCGTGAGAGCTTCCTGAGCATTAGCAAACGCTTGGGAGCCCTCCGAAAATGTCAGCCATCTTCAGAGAATTAAAGTTTGTTGGGTGTTTCCTAAGCCTCCGAGATCTCCTGAAGACATGTATGGGTTGCTGATATTTACTGTATTCGTCTCGGACGTCCGGGTAGTGTTCCCCACTGGTGCTGGCAGGCGGTGAGGAAAGCATCGGGAGGTCAGATTCAATGTTTTTTGGTATTATATTGACGTAGAATAAGCTTCATGAATTGCATAGCAATTTGGTGGGGTGACTCCTCCATATCAAGAAGAATAGATTTGCTGGACACAAAAGAAATTCGGCAAGTACCACCTTAGTCCCATTGGGCTCATGATCCTCTACTGATGAATAATACTTAAATTTAATGCGGGATGCTTTTGTACTCACACTACCGTACATAAATGGATTGTTAATATTAAGTCGAGTGATAGATTATGATATTGTGATATTAAATTATGCTTTTCTATTTTAGTCAGCCCTATTAACTCGCTGCTCTTATTCTATATTAAAGTCTTTCAGTTCACCCCAACCATTATTCGAATGCAGTCAAACATCGACTCGAACGACATGAAGCTATTGCTGAAGGTAGACGGATGCTTGGCTGCATGCGTTTCGCTTTGCCGGGCGTACACCGACAGGCTCTATTGAGCGTGAAGCGATAGAGTGTTGTGACTTGTTACATGAGTGATGATCCCAGCTTGATACTTTCTACAGTCTCTGGGAATCCCAATTCTTTGGACATGGGTTGAACCAGTACAATAAATCCCTGTTTGTGCCCAAACACAATTCATACTGATAGTTTTTACAGACTTCTAAAGGAACGATGATTATACATCAATGAAAATCCTAACACACAGGAATTGTCTATACAAAGCACTGAAGTCAGTGCTGGAAACTATGAGAAACCCCGTATCAAAAAATATTTTGTACAGCAATAAGGGAAAAAGGAATTCCCAATCATATGAAAATAAAAAAAAACCATCGAGATCTGGATAGCCCACCATGGGGATGAAAATGGCTAATCTACCATAGAATCATTGCGTCTTTGGTCCCTTACAAAGTATTAGGAGACACATTTCTAAAGCTTAGGATGCTGCTGATCAAGACGTTTGCACGTTGCATTAATCCATGTTAAACATAAGATGTTCCCGCACCCAAAAAGGAAATAGGGAGAAAAATAAAATGCAAAGCTAAAAAAATAGATTGACCCAAACCCGAACCCGTTTTAAATTATAACAGAAAGAAAATAGAAGGAAAATAAAATAAACCATTAATCATCAATGCACTGATGTCGATGCAGTTATTTGAGCCTTAAGAGTAGCTAGTTCCCGATGCATGCTCAGTACTATGTCCAGTTTCTCCTTCCTTTTTATGGAGTCTGTTATCAGTGAGACCTCATTGTAAAGACGCTCGTAGCGAGCATGATCCTCCTTAAACCTTTGTGCCATCTTGAGGGTATACTCATCGGGGGAGCTTGTGTTCCGTCGCTTCTTGCTAGAATAAGTCGAAATTTCAGCAACAGTAGATGACGTCGGCGGTTTGCTAGAACCGGCCCGGGAAGGGGGACCACGATCATCGCGCTCGGCCAGAGCAGGGGCTTTCCTCTTCAAAGATGGCGACGATATAGGCAGAAATTTACTCTTATTCGACCTCGATGGTATCGTTACTGGTTCTAGAGGAGATCGACCTGGTGTAGATGTCCCCGCAATCGAGGCGAGAAAAGGAGATGATGCTACCGATGTAATATCAATATCTGACGCATTTATCGGCGGGGAGGACCCCAAGGGAGATGGCTTTGGCGGCGAATTACTGGAACTACGCCTCGGAACGTAATCCCGCGACATGGGAGTTTTAGAAACATTTGAGCTAGCTTTAACACTTGCGTTCTTCCTTTTGGCCGTTGTAGAGGAAGAACCATTAGAACTGGGTATATCGCGGCGCTGTTTTTTTATAGGCGACTTGATGTTTTGTGTAGCTGCCTTTTTGGGCTTGAATCGTGAATTTTCAACGTCGTGATCGGAGGTGCCAGAACCTGCGACCGATGGAGGCCTTGCAGCAGCTGCTGTCGATGGCTGTCGTAGAGGAGGAGGAGAGGCTGCCTTTTTTTCCGTTGCTTTGAGAGGAGACTGTTTAGCATCTTCCATTTCGATATCCTCATCTGAGTCCTCAACTCTCTCAGCTGATTTTACTTTAGGCTTTACAACGGCTTCTTTTGCCATATTCGCTTTATTTGTTTTGGTGGTAGCCGATTTTGGAGGTCTGCCAATGGGTCCCTTTGGCTTTGGGGTAGCTTTTACTGCTGCAGGCTTTTTGCCTTTCTTCCCTATAATTCGCGATATGGCATCCTTCGGCGCCGGTTTCCCTGCTTTGGTTGAGGAGGCTGTTCGAGCCATTGATTCACCACTAGCTTTCTTGCTAGATGTTTGACTAGATGATTTAGATTCTGGGCTCTCAGTTGTAACTGTGATGCTTGGTGTAGCCGCAACCGACTTCGAGGGCAGTTTAACGGGTTGTGGTGGTGGTGGATTTGGGTCAACCTTCCCTCTATCCTCTGGGGCCAGAATCATTTGCCATTCGGTTGCTTCCCTTGATAACCTTAACCTATTGAAAGCCTCTCTACAGTTTGCGATTGCTTGATCGCGATCGCCAGAGGAAGGATATGGGAAGTCCCATAAGTCAAGGTCTTTGTAGATATCGTCAACTAATTGCCACTGCTTCCCCACCCTGTTCCCAACCTTCTGCAGAATTCGAACACAGATTTCATTCGAAACTCTTGTTTTAGACGCCAAATTTTGTTCAGAATCCGGGCCCATTGCCAAAAGGTGGATTAATGGAATACGGAGTGCCTCAAGTTTCGCATTGATATGGGCGGAATTTTCGGGGGATCGTGCACCTCTTGACAAAGGCGTATTAGCCAGTGAGTGTTGGGGTTTGGCCCGGCTAACTTGAGTCGTCTTCTTTGGGTAAGCTGCAAGCTTTCCTCCCTTCGCCGAGAACGTGCTATCCACAACGGCGGTTCTTCGGAGACACTGTGAGCGAAAATAAACATACAATTGACCTCAAATTGAGTTTCAATCCACGGAATCCACCTGCTTAGATATAAGTAAAGAAAACTTACGTAGAGGCCTCTTTCTCCTGGTTAATTCGGCGATATGACTCTTGCAGAGCCAACAGGCTTTCATCCTTGACTTCATCTTCAAGTTCTCGAGCTTCCAGTTGGTGCGTGAACGTTGCCGCGAAAGCTAGTTCCTCTGGAGAGTTGATCGATGCTCGGTATAGCTCATGGCGGTTAGGTTCTACTATGGAGACTATCTCCATGGTCTGACTTCCATAGACAAATCTCTAGTAACAAGGAGAACGAAGTGAAACACACAGCAAAACTGTTAGCCAAACTGAACCATCACAAAACCTTATTACTTTTTCAGGCCACATTATCTCTAACCCTCACATGCCCGAATGTTCAGGTGCAACACATAAAACAGCAAGCAGTAAGACTAAACATGAGGCCCAGCGGTGGAGATTCCGTACCATAGACTTCCCGAAGGATATCTTCAGGTCGGCTCCATGCTTGAGCACGTCCTCCAAGATGCTATTATCCGCGAAGGTAACCCGCATGGCCTGTTGGCTGTGAATGTTTAAATTCTTTTGCCCAACAGTGGTGGGCGCCGTGCCCAGAATAACACCACCGTCCGGAATTGTGACGCCAGGCATCTTGGCTAGTAGAGCAGTGCTAGTAGGTGTAGCGGCTGTAACTCGTGAGCTCCGCGGAAAATAAGCGCTGAAAATAGTGATGAGCAAATGATGAGAGGATAGGTCCTGTTTTCCTCCACAAGAACCCGCCTTCTAACGATTATGAGCGACCCGTTGGTCAGAGGTATTAGGTAGGGTGTTGCTTTAAATCACAGGAGATTATTGGCGATGTGAGCGAAATCTGTCGGGCCAGAGAGAGGGTAGAGCAGTGATAGTCTGGGAGTAGGAGTGAGTCTTAATAGGCGACAATAGTCAAAGAAGTGAGAGATATAAGGGGAAAGAACGTTAGAAGGAAATGTGGGAGGAGAAGCAACAGCAGTATAGCAGTGGTGACAGGTGATGGATAGAACGTGGGCTGCAAGGTTCGTTCACTTGCAGGGAGCGATGGGAGTGGCCGGGGCTATTGGTAGCGGCTACCAGGGAGTAAAATAAGCGGGGGTATAGAGGAGGAAGACTCTAGATAGAATTGGAGGTTTGGTGGTGATGAGCGAGATAGAGACAACGGGTGAGTGAGTGTGTAAACGAAGGAAATGGCGGGGAACTAGTAGAGATGAACGGGGAGGAGTCTACGGAGAGACGGAGAGACAGCTGCTGTTACTCTACATAGCCTGTATACATGTAGTGGAGCAGAAGCGTGTAGTGGCAAAGCCAGTGCAACCAAGCACTACATGTAACTACATGTAATCAAGAAAGCTGTGGGCTTCTACATATGTACCGCCTAAGACCCGATGAGCCCGCTAAAATAAAGCTCTAGAGTTGCTTTTATCATGATCATCAAATACATAAGTACATCTATCCGTTTTGAATTGTAAATTAAATAATCCACATTTACATACATGCTTGCTGCGAGAATAAGCCTCCGCCACCACTTTTGTGTTGCAACCGCATTTTCGCGCGGAAACTTATTCCCACCGCAAGCACTCTAGGTATTCGGATTACTAGTTTGAGCCCAATACTCGAAATTGTCATTTGTTTAATTAAGCGCCAAATGTATCTCAACACTCAAAAATAAGAAAGTCGAAATTCTAAAACAGTCAATCTAGAGGCCCGACTTCCTTTTGAAAGTGTAGATACATATAGGTAGGTGTTCCAGACCTATTGGCCACTATTAAAACCACATACAAAACCCACATGTAGTTTCCGCACATAATTCTCCGAAAAAGCGATTTATTAGTGCCTGAAACTACGAACAAATCGTTTTTCCGTCTAAGCTATTGGCCGCCAGGGTAGGTTTAGCCCGACCGGCACCATGGCTCTGTTGGAAATCAAATTCTAACATTAAATACATATGTGTATAAAGACTACCCGTTACAAAACCGTACCCATCACCAAAGCCCAGTATTCAGTACATGTGCTTATCTGCGGAATTCTAAGCCTGATACAGGACATCATCAAGTTCATAGCGAACCGGGTATATAATTCATGTTCGTTGCCCCTTTGCGGCTAACTTCACTTGATTTGGCGCCGGCCGCCCAGTTAAAGTTTGCAAAGCTTACCACTCCCTGCCCCAAGTCCAATCGGTTATGAAAACGGGAACAGAAGAAGAGATATATAATATAAAGCACTAATTTTGGAGGGAAAGATGAGGCCGAACTCTATTTATAGGCACATCTCATGTTTCTCATTCAACAAGGTGCTTTAAAACAATTAGCTCGGCTCCACATCAATCATATAGCTACCTAACTCAAAAACATGAGAACACTTACCGACCACTCCGGTATTTCCTTCAGCTTTTGGTTCATAAACTTTTCCAGTTTGTTTGCGTTCTTCCAGTATGATGTGCTTTCGTTATTGTATCGTCTGCAATTGTTGTAAATTAATTTCGCATCTCGTATAAATTCTTCGGGGGAAGAGTATGCGTCTTCTTCGAGTCGCTTTTCCATCGTTTCTAGATCCATTGGCTCTGTAATTACGTTGTAATAATCGGGTACCTCATCCTGACTGACCGGTTTCTGGAAGGGCCAAGCCGACTGATGGTTCTGCATCTCGTTAAGTAGATGGAGGAGTTGGGCATAGTGCGGGCCATGCTTTGGTTGTCTAGCCAGTTCATCCATTTCAGGTGACCACCCCGCCTCTTCTATTAAGTTCCATTAGCCAAAGCTGAAGAAGAACGCTCCAATGCACTCGCAGCAGCTAATGTTGGATTTGACTCACTAATTGCAGGAATCGAGGTTGGGTCGATTTTACATGGGCCATTTTTGAATGCCTTTGGCGGTACATGGACGATGTGAGACTTTGAGATAGCTCTAGTTTTGGCATGAACAGCTTCCTTTTGTTTTGCTAACATCCTCGATGCCTCCAAATATCGGATTCTCGGTATCATAGAACACTGCATGATTGTGCCGCCTTCATAATCTTTGATGTATCCCATCCACTTTTGTTTGTCAAGTGTAATTTCTTTTGTAAAACCTTGCTTTTTAAAGTATCCAATGGCATAATTGTCGGCGTAGGTAAGGAAATGCATCACGTCTGAAGTAGCTTTAACATAGTCCTAGGGTGTCATTAGGGCAATGGCTAACACTACTCGGAGCTCGAAACTAAAAATCACCTTTAAATGAGACATGAGATGGGCGCCATAGCCCCTGACTTGTTGATCCGACGAAATGGCACAAAACACAATTTCTGCGAATTGTCTGCCCTTGAAAGGCCGATATGTGATGCCTCTATTACCCGAGTATTAGTACGAAAGATCCTTGGTTTGTATAATATAGATATAGTGTGTCTCTACACACATACCCCACTACCTCCAAAGGCCTTTTGACGATGGCCATGGATAGATGAGTCCGGTCGTAGACCAGCCGCGCAATGTAATCCCTAGGCATTTTCGGCAACTGTTTTTGGAAGATGTTCTTGAGGCCGGTCAAGATAATTGTGCTTTCCCTGGAATTATCATTATTGACCACGCGAAACTCGATATCACCATGAAATTCTTCGAGAACGGCGTTTGCTAGAATGCGATGTCGTCAGCCCCTCGTGAATGATTGGGGATCTTCCTGACATCAAGAACCTACATTCTCTAAAAAAGGCCTTGGTCTTCTTTTGATCCTCTGGAGATTCCGACGATTTTATCCTCTTTGGAGAAGGCTGCGTGTTTTGATCTTCAGATTTGCGCTTCATACCTGATGGGGTGGTCAATTCCAAAGCTGTGAGCGAAATGGAGCTCTCTAGCAAGGGCATACCTTCGTGTTTTACGTTCGGCATCTTATTATGGTTTCGTCAAGTTAGCCAGCTGTGAACTGAACTAGAAAAGGGTGCTATAACGTACCAGGCGCCCCTCTTTATAAGGACAGTATAGCGTGGAGTGGTTGAATGTATGCACGCGATGTAAGATGGGAAGGGCAAGCTTTTTTGAACGTGCTCAGATGTACCACAATCTAGGTAACACATGGAACCCAAAGCTGTCTTCAACTCTCCATCCAGGTCCAGCAAGCTCTGGATCTCATCAACAAACTCATTCAACTTTTACAATTTTCAAGAAAAAAAATGGACTTTCAGTGGGACTCATTGACGCCTTTCCAACCACTGGTGTCAAAGGACAGCCAGTTGTCGGTTGCCTTGTTACTGGTTTTAGCAGGTTCGTTATACCTTATGGCAGCATATTCCTCACATAGCTTAACAAACGTCACTGACATTTTCTACTTAGGGTTTTCCCTCACTGGACTCTTTTCTATTAGTACGCCACTCTTATTCTTGAACTATGACGACGTCTGTTGTCTCGCAATATTTAACTAACGTGTCCTCTATTGTACTCAGATAAGTCGATAACTACTGCTCCTTTATTGGCGCTTTTGGCTTCTCTATCACTTGGGTATGCTCTTCATCGTTTTTCTGGCAATTTGAGTCTCTATACTTATCAGCGGTCGAATGGGCAGGTTTGGATCGGTGTTTCTTATATGTGCAGTAGGAGTTTACGTTTAAGCTTCTGTCACAGCACAGCAAGAAGGGGGAAATGGGGTGATAAATACAAAATATAAAATCATATCAAATGTGTCAAAAAGGAATGCATGGCTTGACACATCGGGCTTGGGCTCGAACTATTTGTACTCCTAATTATGCGAAACATCATACCGTGAACCAACCACAATCCTCTCTTCCTCCTCCTCATCATCCAAGTATCACAAACCAACATTGACTCTCGTCATGAACTGCCCACCAACATTTATTGCTGAAACTATATCTATTCGCCAGATACTTTCCCTCCTTAGGTGTATTGGGTTTCTTTCGAAAGTACAGGTTCAGATTAATAGTGATGGATTGACTTTTATGGTTGAGGATTCACGCGTCATGCAAGGTATTCAAAATATCTCTTTCCGACAATATCATAGACTTCCATAAATTGATAGTTCTATTTCGCAGGTAACGTTTTTGTGGACAAAAAGCTTTTCACGCAGTATGTTTTCAACGGTCTCTCGAACGACAGGCTATTACCAAATCCGGAAGGTTTGGGAAATGATTATCCAGCGGATGATGATGGAGACTCTGAAAAAGGTGTCTCATTTGGGATTTCATTATCTGCACTGCTAGAATGTCTACAAATCTTCGGTGCGGAAACTGCAACTAGGGAACGGTGGAATCAGCCAGCACTCTCTAGTACGATGGCAACCAGGCCCGCCGCCCTGGGAACCGAACAGGAAAGGAAATCTGGAAAGTGTACAATGATATATCAGGGCGAAGGTTATCCTTTACAAGTTATGTAAGTCTTGACTTGGTTTGAATGCCAACCAACGTATTTTGCAGCTGACTGCTATATGCCACAATAGTTTGGAGGAAGATAACCTTTCCACCTCCTGCACTCTCACAACGTATGAGCCAGATGACGTGGAAGAGTTTTTACTGGATCAGCCTCTCACTAAAAAGATTATCATGAAGGTATGGATTTCAGAATCCCGAGAAAGCTTACTGGCTACACACAACTTGTCCTTTTGTTTGGTCTCTTCGGTCTACTAAACAATTGCTTAGGCTGACTGGCTCTACGATGCAATCCAAGAGTTGGATGGGTCCTCCCCAGATCGCCTAATCATATCTGCAAGCCCTTGTCACCCGTTCTTCAGTCTGAGCTCAACAGGCCCTATGGGAAGCACTAGTGTAGAGTTTTCTAATGAACGAAGTCTCTTGGAAACATTCCAGGTTCCTACGCCAGTTCAGAATATGTATTTGTTCTCCCCTTTTTCCTTGCTAGGCGAGGAAGGATTTATTTCGGATTTACCAAGGCCTCAGTATCTAATTAATTTGGGAAAAAACTGAGTAGTTACAAATTTCATCTGATAAAACACGCCGCCCGCGCTATGGCAATTGCTACCAAAGTCAGTATCCGTGGAGACAGCCGAGGAATTCTAAGCTTGCAATTCATGATTACCATGAATAAAGTAATGAGCTTTGTGGACTTCCGGTATTTGCCTTTTCAGGGTGACAGTGATAACGAGGATTGATTTTATCCTCGTTTGGACGGTCTCATCTCATCTCAAGTACTTTTAAACACCATAGGTCGGTGGGACTAGTGACTATTTAGTGGTTGATGTAATTTAAAGCACGCCGTAACAGACTTTAGCCTGGTCCACTAATTCACTAAAAGATGGGGCCATCACCCAAGGGGTTGATTTAGTTACTGTGGAACTAGTCCTAGAGATAGTTCTACATTTGGAATACATGCTATATAGTTATTGTGACAAAGAAAAAAGAATTATGCCATCCAAGAACGTGTCTGACGATTCTTTTCTAGAGCCGACATACCGGAATGGATTGGGTTGAAACCGTATATCCAGAGGATATACTCATTGAACACACTTTAGGTACCCACTTTTATATGACTTCAGCGATTGATTGTCTAATCCAATTATTAGTCTTGGTATCTCAGAGGAATCATTACTGCATCTAAGGTCCCACCTTTCTATGATCGACTTCTGCCTTTCATCCCTGGAAATACGGTAGTAATGATCACAATAATCTTGGCATTGCATCTCCTTCAAGAAATCCTCATCGTGAGTAATAACCTATGGCTTTGTTAAAACTCCTTCAGTCTGTGACAAAGAGGATATATGTAGGTCTTACAATCAATTGGAAATTAGATTGTGCCTGGCGGGTCTTGATAATTTCATGAAGACTTCTAGCAAGAGACCTGATGTTATCGCCATCGAGATTTGTTGTAGGCTCGTCGAGTGCGATCAGCTGAAAAATGATGATTTAGTACCTGTACAACCAAATTTCGCATTGAAAGAAGAGAGAAAAGGGGTGAGGCATACCCCACAATTGATACCAAAGCATTCAGCTAGCGCAAGCCGAATGATGATACTTGCTAATACTCTCTGCCCAGCACTGCAACGACCTCGCATGTCCATTTCTGCATCTTGTTTGACCATACATACCTAATTAAAATTAATAAAACAGCTATGAGATGCGGTACGGTGGTAGGGGGTAGGATACTCTATAATTATAAGATCTGTTGCCTTTGGTGCCTTCGGTGTCATCAGATCGAATGAGGATGGTGTCCACATCGGTACCCCGGTACGTGGATTTCCAGAGCTCTTCAATTATACGATTTATTTCCTCCATTTTCAAACTGTGATATTTCATGATAGCTCTAGAATCTACATTAGTTGGAGAACTGTCTATGTTTGTGTGAATTTACGAGCTCACTTATCAAGTGCAGCGCAGTATTTCGATAAATCGTTGCTAGCGCCTGTAGTAGTCTATCCAAAAAATCAATGACGGCTTCATTAATGCCAAATGATCTTTTTACCTGAACTTTTGCCAACGTTTCCTTATATTTTCCTTTCGCATCTGCGTAATCTGTAGCATAATCCTGGATCAGTTGTTCTAACTGTGCATCCTTAGATCTCATTTCTCCAGCCTTAGTCGATTTCTAAAATATCATCAGCAATTTATCAACACTCACTATGAGACTTTATCATATACCTCCATAGCTAATGCAGTGTGTGAATTTGATAACACCGCTAAATCTGCACGAAACCTATCCCTTTCCGCCTCGGCATTTCGACTCTCAAGTTCATGGATTTCCTCCGTCAACATTTCCAGCTGTCTTTTATTTGCACGGAACCTCAAGTTTTCTTGAATACTTTGTTCAGTTGCAAGTGCATTTTTCGATTCCTGTTCTAGGTTGTGTACCTCCCTGCTAATGCTTGTTACTTTTTCCTCGCATTTTTTGACGTCTTCTTCTAATGTTTGGACTTGTGAGCGACACCTATTCAACTGATCCGGTCCACCGCGCCTGAGGTAGTTTTGAATCCCTTGTTCTGCTCTCTTCAATTGCATATCGCTCTCGGCAAGCTTTGAGGCGTCCCGTTGCTGCTGATTTTCCTTTTCTGCGCCATCGCGAGAGATGTTATTAACATGCGCATCAGCTCTGGCCAACTCTGGGGCGAGCTTCTTAAGTTCCGCATCTGTCTCATCAATTACCGTGTTTTGTTTGCGATTATTATCTCGACATTCGTCAATCCTACCCACCAGGTCTCTTGATTGTTGAAGTTTAAAGTTCAGCTCGTTGAGCTTCATGCGATGTTCCTTGGCCTGGTTGTCAAGAAGACTGATGGTCTGACGAGATTGTTCTTTCTCAGACGCTATAGAAATAATTAGGCGTTTAAGAGTCTTTGCTTCCTCATTCAACTGTTGCATCTGATCTTGCATTTCTTCGACGGTACGAGCACCACCCATATCCTTTAACTGGCTAGAGACATCCTCGACCTGCTTTTCGTAGTCGACTATCTCCTTCATGTATTTCACAATCTCTGAGATGGGCGCTTTCAAGGATTCGACTTCTGACTTGCTCGATATGCAATCATTCAGGATCTTTTCGTGCTGAAATGGTGTAAGCTAAGATTAACCTCCAAGTTTACACGAATTCTTACTTTATTGTAGTCATCGATAAATTGATCTTTGAGGATGTTATTTTTCCTTAGATCCTCAGTAAGGTTTGGAATCTCTGTCTTAGTTAAACGAATGTAAGAATCATAACTCGGGGCGGCCTCTCTAATGAGTCGGAGGTCATCCTCTGCGTCCTTGATGTTTTCTTCTGTCGTTTCCCGAGAGTAACTTCCGAGTTTTTTCTTGACCTAAATCAAGTACCAGGGTAGCAGTAAGTATTATATATGTACGGGGGCTTCAGTATGGTTACCATCTCATCGAACTCTTTAATTTCATTCTGATGAAATCCTCTTTTGCACATGATACAAGCATTGTAGTCCTGGAGTGTTTTGAGTGCTTTGTTAAAATAATCTTGAATGTATTCAAGATATTTTAAGTCACTGTGATACATTTAGCCATACGAAGGCCCTACTAGGGATTTCAACTCACCCTCTAAGCGTCTGTAGGTCTTCCTCAATTGCAGTAGCCGCTTTTGGGTATCCACTGATATCCTTAATACCGTCATCCTCTGAGCCCGGAGTCCATGATGCGAGCACCGTCATCTCACAATCTGTGTGATGGATTAAAATCTACCCTGTAATTATCCAGAAGGATACACTAACCTTTTGCTTCCTTATTCTTCTTCTTGAGGGAATCCCGAACTAAGGTAATTTTTGTTTGGACCTGAGACAATTCTTGATTAATGCTGTCTCGCTGTCGTCGAGCTTCTGCAATTTCTTCCTCTCGATCTCTACATAATATTAGTACCTAAGAATCTTGGATATTGGCCCAACACTCACCTGAGCACTGTTTGCAATTCTCGCTCAATTGAATCTACAGACCAGCCTGAAGAAAGGAATTTGTTTATTTTGACTTTGTTCGCAACAGTCCTGCATCAATTAATATAACGCTGAAATAGAGCCGAACACGAAAACTTACAAGGAATCCAGAGCCTTCCTTCTGGTCTCTAGTTCTTTCTTTACAAAACCCAACCTTGCTCTCTCGTCCGCCTGCCGAGTCACCTTTGCAAGTTCTCCTGTCACGCTATCTAACTTCTCTTCCACGCTTTTCAGTTTTGCATTCGCTTTTTCAGTGTGATCCTCGTACAGCGCTATTTCGTAATCCTCCTTTGCCTTGGCCAGTCGTTGCTCCTTGTCGTCGAGTTTAGACTTGAGAATGGACTCGTGACCTTCACTCACCCCTATGGTTTCAAGATCACGCTGAAGAGAAGTCGCTTTTTTATCTAAAGCTTTAATTTCGGCCCTGGCATATTCTTTCTTTTGCTGAAGTGAAGCTCGCTTGCTAGCTATCTGATTTAGTACTTCTTGGGCTGACCTAAGCTCTTCTCCATTCTCACGCTACGAAGGTCAGCAGCCAGTACAGCGCAGTGTGAAAGACCCAGTCATACCTTAATACGCTCAAGATACAGGCTCTGATCACGTGACAATCTCGAGACCTTGGTCATGAATGTTTGAATTTGAGAGTCATCCAGCTCATTTTCAAACCCCTTAATTCCATGTCGACGGCTGATCTCCCTAATCAGAGCCTCGCGCTCTTGTAGTTGGTTTTCGAATGCCTGCTATTCTTAGTAATTCGAACTTTAGAGCAACCAAATAATCACTCGGTTCGTTTCAGCCATTCATACCGCGTGTTCTGCCTGGATCCTGCCTTCCTCTTTGAGTTTTATTGAGAGGCGATCTCTCGCTCTTTCCAGCTCTCTGCTTGCCTCAAGGTGGGCCGCTTCTTTAGTTGTTATATGATCTTGATACGTTTTCATTCTTGCGCCATATTCTTGCTGCATTCTCTGAAGATCTTCATCCGACTCTTCTAGATGAGTAAGATGGTCTGAACGCTCTATAAGAGAAGATTCCATCGTTCGGGCTTCTTGTCTCTTGGCCTGAAGGGTGGCTATTATTTCTTCAAATCCTGACGCCTTGCTAAACAGTTCTTGTTGTTGCCGGGAATTTTCAGACATCATCCGGGTTAGTTGAATAACCTCTGCTCTCATCCTTTCAATCTCCTCGTGAAGTTCATCAGAGCGACGTTTGGCCTAAACAGATATTAGTCTAATTAGACTAGTTGTTTTCGGACAATTCCAAGATAAAATGCATTCTACCTTCTCACCGCGGTCTTTATCCACACGGTACTGTTCAAGGAGAATCTTCAGCTTCCCAAGTTCTTCATTCTGTTTCTTCCTTAAAACCTTGATATTATCGATAGCTTTGGTGTACTTCAGTGCCTCAAATATCTCGTCGAATCGTTTCTTCAACACGGCAGGCTCACTCATGGGCCAAAGACTTTCGTCTTGATGGCAGAATATTACATATTCAAGCACGGCTTTTGACACACCTAGGTACTGTGGCATGAGAGTGTCCAGTTCTGTACACTTCGAACTGATTGTTGAGCGTTCGCCGTTACTATTGACCAGTAGCTGGCCTTCTAGAGTCTTTTGCACTCGGGTGTTTACTTTTACGCTGAGCTGCAGCGAACGGGTGCATACCATCTTGATATCCTTAGTAGAATTGAATGAAAGCTTTACTTGAGCAAGGACCTCCTTCTCTCCGCACATCTT